ACTTTATGATACCTTATACATACCATTTATAGCTAATGTAAATTCCCAGCCAGCATCTATCTTGATGATATTCTCACTGTTTAAACTATGAATAGGAGTTAATGTTGTAATAGAGTTAACAGTTTGACCTAAACCAAGTTCTCCTTTACTGTTACTACCACATACCAATACCTTCCCATTATCTATAGATAATAAGTAAAATGGAAAAAAAAATTCGCCAATCTTTTGATTCTAGAATAGTACAACAGCATGATTAACAGCATGATTTACAGCTTGTATAGACATGATTGTCATTTTAGTAATCAGATCTGAAATTATGCATTTAAATTACAACACAATGAGATTATTATATATGCATGCATTTCTTACCAGTTAAAGCCACTGTATGTCCTCCACCTCCAGTGATATATCTAACATTAATACCGGGTACTATCACTTGTCTTGGTACCAACTGATCCTCTTTACTACCAATACCAAGCTGCCCATAACTATTGGCACCCTGAAATTAATAGGAACTACAACTATTTTCGTCAAGTTAGCAAACAAACATGTACAGGTTCAGTCCAGTCCATCAAAACTCAGTCAGAAACAAGTTGGCTTTAGTTAGTTATGACCAAAAAGATTTACCAGTGTCCTGAAATTTCTGGAGTGTAGTCCTTTAGGTCTTTAGTTCTAATAACTGACAAAACCACTCTACTATATATATATGATATCTTTACAATTATTACAAGAGGCTTACTCTTGATATTGAAAGTATATTTTTCATTTTTATCATGTTGGCCCCTGAATTGATTTAATTATTTTCAAAATATGAAATAAAGATGACTATTTCTGTGTTAGTTTGTTAACATGACCTATATTATCGATTCTTATATTCTTATCTGGCTATATATCGATCGCTTTGAATTAACATAATCTATATAAAACTTGGCAGGGACGAATGATTCTTACCCATGCTAAAATTCGTGAACAACTGTCAAGGTTCTTATAACTATCTTCTGCATAACCAGTGAACATTTAGCTCTGGCAATAGTAACCACACGTGAGTAAGGACCGTTAGTTATGAAGTGTGGAATACGAGACCCCGTTATAACGCTGATCCAACATTACAACATACTCCCTCGTTTAGAGATGTTCATTTTCACCTAACCCGTCATAGATAACACCTTATCTTATTGATATATTGTAAATACGCTACTGTGAATCACCTCATGTGAATAAACAAACGGTCCGTCTCGCTCGAGTAGGCATAGGCCAGGATATTTGGTGGATTCATTGTTCAAGGCGAGACGCTTACTCCCTTGTTTCAATCAGCCAATGGCGTCTCAGCGCTTGATACACGACCAACTCATGATTCGTCGTCGGTCAGTGTTATAACTCCACAACCAATACCAATACAGAGACTTGTACCATCCCAAATGTAAGTCAGCAAATTATCTTCTTATTCATTGTACTTCATGAAACATTTTGTATACGTGAACACATTGGTTAGATAAATGTTGCCCCTCCCGTTTCATATTATTTGACAAGAAATAAATAAGAATTTAGTTTTAAAATGATCAAAAAATAACAGTAAAATAATATAGGTCATTTATGTTTCTTTGTCTGCAAGAGTAACCGATGCCATATTAACATTTGGCTTCTCAACAGACCATAGACAAAAAAGGTCTCTTCAGTTAAATATAACTTATAATTTCATATAGTATAACAGATGATATACAATGTATCATTTTATTTTTCATGTGCATCGATACATATTCTAAAAAACCTACATTGTTATACAAAGTGAATCTTCAGTGATCCTTTATGTAAATATCAACTACCATTTTGTCAACATGTATCAAACAGTTGATTTCAACTAAATATTTTCTTGGAAAAATTTGGTTGTACAACTGATGGTTAATAAATTGGTAATATTATAATGTTTGTGCTTTGGGAACTGTAGAATCAAAACCCTCTTTGTCCCCTTATAAAATCCTATTTTTTGTTAGTGGGGTTACCACCTCTACTTTCAGGAACACACATGATTACAATTACATTTTGATTGTCTATATTTTGAGGTAAATGCCAATTGATGAATAATTTGATTTGAATACTTAATAGGCTCATTATGCTTGGAGAGTAATATTTTTATTTGAAAAAACTTGGTTTAAACACCTTATATATTCTGTCTTTATAGATTTTTCTCTTCTTAGGACAGGAAATTTTTAAAGTTGATTTTTTTTCTCTAAACGAATGCTTTTGCCTCATGTGATGAGGACATTTTATGCATATTTTCATGTCATAACATTTTCAGCTATTTGTAGCATTATTATTGGCACACTATTAGCACATGATTAAAATCCCTGA